TGAGTTCCGCTGTTCCATACTAAAGAGACTAAGCTCCGGTGCGACCGTTTCACTTCAAAATATATTGATTTGTAGCAGCTCCCTGTGAACTAAGATGGCAGAGCTACTAGAAAAATAATCCAAAGCGTTCTTATCGTGAGATCGACTTATAATTAGAACGGGAATAAAGGTAAGAGAACCATTTTGGCACAGCAGGACCAAGGCACTCACTTACCTTCGCACTAAAACTCAGAGACTCACACACCCTTACTGAAAACCACTTTTCCGACCACTTATTTGTTATCAAAGTTTCTTTTTAATTTAAATACAAACCAAGTTTTTTCAATATTTGCACTTCCTGTCTGCGAACTTACCAACCGACACGATTACATTTCAGGGTTTGACGGTTCGTTAGGCAAGCGTTAATAGCCAGCCGAGGAGCTATTGCCGCAGTGGTGCGGCGAGTTGGTTGGATGTGTCCAAAAACAGTACGAGCATTTAAGGCGCAGTCATGCAATACCTACCTACGACGACGTGTATGCACTGATAGGCGACGAACATACATACAAACATATGTACTCAGCTCGGCAGCTTATTTGCCATGAGAAGCCACAGAGAGTTGGAGGGAACTTGTGGTGGAGGAGTGCGACTTTGCGAAAGACAGTTGTTACGGAAGGACGAGCTCCTAGGCGAGAGGTAGTGGGCGGGGCGGCGCTAGATGGGCACGAGCGTGCAGTTGGCGTGCAGTACGTGTCGGACTGTGGCTGTAAAATATGTAATTAAGTAATGAAGCAACGCATTGTTGCATTTTAAGCGCAATTAAAGAAGTTTTGACAGTTCAGCTGAAGTTTTGCGGCTGCACTCTCTCGCCGGAACGAGCTTCTGCCAGCCTTGCTGCTGGAAATGTGAGTAGACAGGAACAAACGTTTCGTGATTGCATGTTGAAGTGAAAGTTAGTTTTGTTGTGATTAGTACTCTTTATGATACTTTAGTTGGTGCAGACGGCTGAGGGGCGAGGTCGGAGTGCAAGGGCTTTAGTTAGTTGGAGTTAATAGAAGAAATTGTGGGGATGTAAGGTGAGTAATGGTGGCCTCTGTAGCTGGTGGGTACTACTGCCCCGAGAGTCCTTGGTACGCAACTTACCCAGGCCAATATGCTGTTCTTGGGCAGAGAACTTAAATTTCTCCGAGTGTATCTTAATAAGCTCACGACACTCCCTTCAAAACGGAGGCGGAGCTTGGCGGAAAATTACCCAACGGGTATATATGCAGAGTGAGTACAGATCTAAGCACTTAAAGTTCTGATCGAGCTTGGAAACTCGAGCTGAAGGAAATAGAGCTGGAGATGGGAGCTCAGGATCTCACCTGAGAATTCTATGCAGAGCTGGGAGATTGAGTAGAATCGGAGCTCTGGAGATATACTTAGTTTATCGGCCGAAAGCCGCTTGAAGACTCAATTCGGCTCTCACGACTTCCATCGTGCGTAAAAGTCTACGCCAAGGACAGACTTACGGAGTCAAAGTTTGTTTTCGTGAAAGCAGATGCCGAGAGAACCAACCGAGCGGTAGTCGGTGCCCTTTCTCGCTTGCTTTTGTTGCTGGAAGGCAAAAAATATTTCTCAGTCTCTTAGTTTTTTGAGGAAATACTGTGGATAAAACTAAGAGTCGTTTTGGCATAGGAAAAACCTCCGAATCTCGCTTGCCTAATAAACTCCAGAACCCCCAAACCGTACGGGTAGAGCACGCCTCCACGTAAGGCTGCTTAGAGCAAATCCTAAAAAACTAAACTAAGTTGAGCCGAGAGTCCGCATGAGCCGTAACAGTTCGAAATCCAAGCCCAGCACTTCAGCTGTGGATTGTGCAGGGAGCTCGGTGTCTCAAGTGTATCTCTCATTGCGCAGGTTCTACTCTTTTTACCTCCCGCCTGTAAACGAACTTAGCGCGTATCAAAGTGGTCTACATGGTGGCCGCCACGGCATTAACTGCTCGTTCAACTTATGCTTACTAAAGCGATCAACAGTCTTCCAAATCCATTCAGTGTTCGTTCGAAACAATTTCTGCTACTCTTTTGCAGCTCAAACTCGCTTTTTATTCAAAACGCATGAAAGGCACGGAATTTTACCGCTGTTTTGGAATTAAACGTTTTCTAATTACGTCTTTTTAGCATTTTAATTGTATAGAAATAATAAAAATATTAGAACATGCGCAGCTCAAATTAAATTTTTTTCTTTTTTTTTTTTAAATATTTACACAGTTGGCCCCGAACTTGGGCAAATATTGTGTAGGTGTGTCAGTCAGACTCTACGCTGATTTTTGGCAGCCTTTTTTTTGGCACTACTTTGCTCATTCTATCGTCAGCTTTGAGTGTGCACAGTTTAGGTTTTAGCAGAGATCGGTGTACAAAAAGTGAGCTTAAAAACTTTGAGAAGACATAAACTTCCCGGCGGCGTATGCCTTTAACTTCGCTACTTGGCACTCTAGTCTTTAGAGGTATTTAAAAGAGAAATTGCGAAATATTTTGCTGTGAGTATAGTAACTACTGGGCTTATGCCATGATTGTTAGTGGAAAAGTATTTCCTCTGTGCAACGCCTTTTTTATTTTTATTTTTATTTTTATTTTTATTTTTATTTTTATTTTTATCTTTATTTTTATTTTTATTTTCATTTTTATTATTATTTTTATTTTTATTTTTATTTTTATTTTTATTTTTTAATTATTTTCTCATAAAAATTACTTTTATTTAATAATTTCGCGCCAAAATATGTCAAAAAGTGTTTCTTATTAATCAGTTGAGAATTGCTGCTTGGTTCAAGTGCAAACTTCTATAGATGGCGCTGAGTTCGCATTGCACTGATTTGCCTAGGCAACGTCGATAACGATAACGCTGCGGTGTGCGTTGAGGTGTCGAACTAAGCTAAATCCGGGCAACAGTTTGAAGTTCTGCCACGAAATTGATCAGAGCTCGCCTGTGATATTTCTTTAAAAATTTCCAAGAAAGCTGATTTTTTGTACATAAAAGCAACAACGCCGTGTGGTTGGCAGTGTGTACTATCAAGAACAGTTTAAGTCCCAGACCAACATTCCAAGTTATGGAAAAATAAATAGAAAAATAATTTTTCTCGGCAGAGAATGCCAAGCGCTCCGTGCGTATTTCTAAAATGAAATACTAAGAAGATTCTATAAATCAGGGAGGTGGTTTGGCATAAGTTGCTGACTACGTTTTTTGTTCAATTATAGTATACAAATGTATATATGTACATATATGTATAAAAATCAAGTGATTCAATTCTTTGTGTGTTTTACACCTTCTTCTTCATACTTCGGCATGTGCGCTCATCTTAACGCACGATACCGACTCAAGGCCGCTTGAACATTTAGTATTATTTACTCAGCTGATGATGGTTCTTTGATTCTATTCTATTTATTTTCTTTATATTTTCGTTTGAGCGAAACTCACGCGTGTCAGAATGACGGCAGACGGACTGTTTGATGGGTTTTTAGATATTTTCACTGTTAAGAGGGGCTAAAATATTTGACTTTGATCTTACGTGAATCCGTTGAGAATTACAGTGCTAACTTACATGCATTCGCCTGCTGCGCTATTGCACAACAGATGGCGCTAGTGATGTGCCTTCGCGCTGTGCTTGATGTGAAGCAAATACCTAATCAGCCAGCAGCTTAGAGTCTGTATTAACTGTGTTTTGTGCAAAATTTTATTTTGCCAATTTTGATTCATAGTTGCCGCTAATGTTCAAGGTGAAGCTCGTGTTTGTTCTTGTTTTGTGTTCATTTACTTTTTTCTTCCCTGTATAATATTTATTGTTTGCACAGTTGTTTTGAAGACAGTCGGCACACCGAATCCAACAAACCGTTCGCGATTTCAATGAACTTAGCTTCGAAAATTAGTTTGAATGTACTTAAATCTACCTTTGATAATTAGTTCGGCAAGCGATGCTGGGACTCCGCTTCTCAGGCTGTTGGGTCCTCCATCTGAAATCTTCGTCGAATGAAATATGCCATTGCCAGTTCAAGATGTAACTTCTATATAATTGGCGCTTTGTAACCGCTGAAGCGATTTTCAGTCGAGCTGCTCCTCAATTTATGTTTTTTTTTTTTTTACAAATGGAGGGACCTACAGCTTATACTAAGCCGCCTCCGAACGGCTGATGGTTTCTTGTGAGGACCCATTATTTCATGTCAGAAAAACACTCGGAGGGGTTGTTAGTACGAAGCTACGATTTGAACCCGAGTCTTTCGAATGGCAGTACGCAATGCCAACCACTCGGCTACCGCGGCCGCAGTTCAAGAACGGCGCTTTAATTGCTGATGGGTATTGTCTTAGGTACTTGGAACAATACGAGCGCTCGAAAATATGTAATGTAGGTGGCTTAGTGTCGTTTAAATAACGCTAACAGACTCTTAAGCCCCAGGACGTCAAAGTCTGGTAAAACTTCTACCGAAAAAAATGGCTTCCGTACACTAGACCAGGTAGCTCCGAAATATTGCCGAAAAGTAGTGCTTACAGTGTCAACTTGATAATATGGACAAGATTCTAAGGACTGGGCTGTAGACAGAATGCGAACTCTTAAGAATTGCAGCGAGTTTCCTTTGGTTTGGTTTATCTGAAACCTGCTAGTGAAGCTGACTGATTGGACCTTGTCAATGCTGATTGAAGAACATAAAATGACGTTTCCGCAAACTTCTTGATGAGCAGCGGAACACAAATTATAGACTTCTCAGAGTCGTGCTATGACCACTCCAGATGAAATCACAAAGGGCAAAAGAACAGAAGCGCAACGTGAGAGCACATTAAAGTAGGCTCCGATCGGTACTAAACTAGAAGTCCGCATGATCACTTAGCAGCTATATATTGGATAGCGAAATGAGCTCCGGGGACATTGATAACATCAACAAAGAGCTCATATAAGTTCACCATAACACAAGCCAACCTGACAATCATTTATTTTGCTTTCTTCTTTAGCTTCCAGTAGGACCACGCTACGTACACGACTACCTGCGAAGATGACGACGCGACAGACGCGTTTATTGAAATCTTTCACGTTCACACTATGGATCGTCATCTCGCTGGCATTGTACGCGTTATATAATGTAACATTGCAGAGTAATAAGCTACCGGCAGCCTGGTTCAATGTCACGGGCGAGATAAATCGCGTCTCTCAGCTGACGAGCGGGCAACGTAAGTTAAAACCAATTCCTCGCCTTCCAATGATCCTTTAATAAGTTTCATTTTTGCTTTTTTACTTTGTACCACCGTTGGTGTAGCCACTAATAATAGCCAGGAGGATGTTATGCAGAAATATCAGGAGGAGCTACCTAATGTGCCCTTCGAGTTTTGGACACGCATAAAGAATTCTCGTTTCAATGCAACCTGCGCACATGCGCCGGAACTCAGCAATCTGCGCTTCCACAACGACTACTGGCAGGTGTTCCACAATCGTAACGTGTCCTATCACATCTTCAATGCCTACTACGATACACGTGAACACATCACACAACCCAGTTCCGTAGTGCGTATACTGGTCATGATGAACCAGCCAATAGAGCCCAAAAATCCCATACATTGTCAGCTCTGGTATGACGATAAGAATACGACCGTGCTGGCGCCGGTGATGGAGCATCGACTGATTTGGATACGGGAATGGGGTACGAGTGGCCACTTTTACCCCTATTTATTGACGTGTGTAGTGCCGTTGCAGCTGCGAGAGGGACCGGCACCACAAGCGGTCTCCTTGGTGGTGGACGAGTGTGCGACGGCCACGAATTTAGTGCGCATATACAATGAGCGGCCATCGGGCAATGCTACAAAACAGAGGTTTGCAGTATGTGTGAAGGGTTTGGATTATCCGTATGCCGATTTGGGACCACGTCTCGTGGAATGGCTGGAAATGCAGCGTTTGCTTGGCGCTAGCAAAGTCATCACCTATCGGTTGTCGGTACATCCGAATTTGGAGCAGGTATTGCAGCACTACATCGAAGAAGGTTTCCTGGAAGTACACCCGCTCAGCTTGGGTTCGGAGATGGTGACCAAACCGCTCTATTTGCATGAATACCTACGCGCGAGTGTCCCCAACAAGCGTTTGAATGAGATTGTGCCATACAACGATTGCTTCTATCGGAACATGTACAAGTACTCGTATATTGTGACCATCGATATCGATGAGGTTATAATGCCGCTGGGCAATATAACCACATGGACGCAGTTGATCAACGAAACCTCACGTGTGCGTAGCGAGGGCTGTAAGTACGGCTATGGGAGTCTGTGTGTGCGCAATGTGCACTTTCCCATCAACGGACTAAACTACACGGAGACACCAAAAGCGCCACGTCACATGTTCATGTTGCAGCACGTGCATCGTGATGTGCCAGAGGCCCCTGGCTTGGGTGCAAAATGCTTTCAAAATACCAGCGACGTTTTGATGCTGCACAATCACTATAATCTTGATACGTTGAAGACATGCCGTTGGCATAACTTGCCGCCCGATGTGGCATATCTACAACACTATCGTCTGTTGAGGAAGCCGGAAGAGTGGAAGACGCAGATACTCGACGAGAGTATCTATCGTTATAAGGACGCGCTGATAGCGACTGTGGAGCCGGTGTTGAAGAAGCTCGGTTATCTCAATTGAGGAGGTCGGGAGATCCGTCTGGCGAGTGTAGCCAGCCAACGACTGCCAATTTATCCATTAGTTTTAAGCCGGTGTGAATGGGACTGGAATCAAATGTGTAATATTTAAATGACCAAGTAGAGTCAGAGAATAAAAGAACCAAAATAATTTAAGAGAAAATTAAAAAAAAAAGTAAGAAAAACAAATGACATTTGTGTTTTTTAGAGAGAGCTTTCCAAGGAGGGCTATCACTGAGAGCCTGTGGTGCATACTGCAAGATGCTGGCGGTAAACACCGGCCCACATATAAGAATATTTGCGCTAATGCGAAAAACCCTAAAAAGACAGAGTAGAGGAACCAAGGGTGTTCCGAAGTAGTTAAGTTCAGAAGCTCATATTTCCAGAAAACTAATAAAAGAGAGTATGAGAGTATGAGAGTATGAGAGTGTGAGAGTATTTTGTAGTCTAAGAGAGTGGTGTTCAACAAGATACAGAATGGGAGCTGCTCACTGTTAAATCGACTTCTAAAAATACTCTCTCCGAAAAAAAACTATATCTTCTGCCCGAAATGAGGTTACGGAAGGCCACTAGCCTACGAGGAACCAATTGAAAATCAGGTGTGATGGATGGAAATAATTTTAAGCCCTAGAAAACTTCTAAAAGATACCTCCTCGACACCGATTTCTTCTGCCCTCATCCCCGCATTATAATTTTTCTCGAGTTTTTTTTCGTGTAAAGGGCCTTCGGCTTACGTTAACGACTTAAGACTTAAATTTTAGCGAGACCAGTCCACCGTTAGTGAAGGAAAGGAAAAGTGGTCGGAGTGAGTCTTAATAAAAAGTCGAATATTATTTTTTATTCTTACTTTAATTTTAATTTTTTATTTCTTTTTTCGATAAATTATGAGCGTTAACTATTTCTAAATTAATCGATAAATAAAGTACGTACAGATATTTTATTTACTAATTTAAATTCAAAAACTAGTAGTGACAATTCTTGATTTGACCGATTCTATCGTTTAGGCAGTTAAACTTTGTTCGCTAGATACAATAGTATTTTATCGATTATTAGTATATTAAAGTGTACGAGAAAAACGTTGTTTTCCTAAATTTTTAAGATAAATGGATATCGGTAATTATATTTGATGAGTTATCGATACATATATTTAGATAAATAAGTTAGTATATCGTTAGCCTCATAAATTTGTTTTTATTTAAAAGTGCCAACGTCAAGTTATCGATTAACATTTATCGATAAATAATCGATTTTTATGAAAATATTATTGATAACATTTGTCTTAATTCATTCCACGGATAGAATGCAATAATATTTATGTATGCTATCGATTTTTTTTTGCAAATTCTAGTCAAATACACAAGGTTTCGTTTTCTGGTATTTCACACGATATATAGTCCGTTATCGATGTTTTTATCGATGGTGTTTTACCGCTAACATTTTCCACTAAACATAATATATAAACATTTCTTAAAATTTCCCATCGATTGCACAAAAAGATGTCTCTTTGATCTACAGTTTCAGCATACGACTCACCAACAACATCACGCCACTACCCAACAACAAGCCAAGCCCATTTACACTTTGTATTGTCACGCCGGCGGCAGCCATGCTACTCGCCCTCATCAAAATCGGACGTTCATTCGCCTTCGCCACCAAATATTCATTGCAACTCGTCTCATTCTTAATGAATTTAAATATCGATTCGGCTAAATTTGCAGGCGTAATCTCACGACATTGCTCCAAATGGTGTATGGTGCAAGCCTGAAAGCGTTCCAGATCCACACAATGGCCGGGTTCCAAAATCAAATCGGGCAAATCGAATAGATCGGGCACTTTAAGGTCTTTTGGTAAGAAATCGTGGAATGAGCTATTCAAACACATATTTATAGCATCACGGTTCGCCTCCAGGCACTCAGGACCCTCCTCGGCTATAAACAGTGCTATGGGATCACCGCCACGCGAACACATAAATTCGAGTAAACCCTTAGCAATGCGTAAGAGTATCTGATTCTGTTGTTTCTCTTTGACGCTGAGGCAGGGTTGCACTTTGTCGTTGAAAGCGCGCAAACATTTCGTGGCTTCGGGCGCTTTGTTGCAATATTTGTTGAAAACGGTGTCCAGTTCGCCAATGGGACGCGCCGCTTCCATTTCCTTTTGCAATGTAGTCATATTGACCAAACTCGCTAGGCAACTTGTGAGTACGGTGGTGCCCTTTTCGATTTCTTGATACAGCGTGGAGTTCTCCTCGCCGCCTGTAGCTTTCTTGCACTTCTCGCGTAGCACTTTTTTGAGCTCATCTACAAAGAATGAGAGGTATTGCGTGTAATTAAGAAATTCTTTATTTTGCATGATAACTTTGCTGATTTTGCCACTCACCCACTGTAAAATTGCGTCCTTTATACTCTGCCGGCAAGAACTGGTTCTTCAGCACATCCAATTGATCGTTCGCCGCCGCCGGATCCGCTTGGATGTGACATTGCAGGAAACACGCCAAAATGGCGACGAAGATCACAATGAGTAATTTCGGTTTATACATTTCCGTTCTTTCTTTATTTTATTTTTTTCGGTCTTTGTCTCTTTCCTGCCGTTTAAGCGTATTTCTTCAACTATCGTTATGCGTGTCCCGTTTCAAACTGCTCGGGTGGTAGGTAGAAATACACAATTCCCAAGCCAATTTCGAGGTGATCAACTGTCACCGCCAAATATAATGGTAGTTAAGCATATAAATATTTATCTTATCGCAATTGAACAAAAATACCGATACCAGGCGGTTGTAAACTTTTTTTTATGTATGTATGTATATATGTATGTTTTGAAATATACATAACTGTGTCTACATAATTATTTGCATTTTTGTTTGTGTTATTTTTATGGGCGTCAGAAAGTCAAAGTGCAAAATTTAGGATTACATTGTCGTATGTTCCTACGAAATGTTAGTGTATTTACGACAATCTGTTACTCTTATTGTGTTATTCTGTTAGTGGGTGTTGTTGATAAATGTAAGTTAGCAGTTCACGATGTATTTGTTACTCTGTTGACGATGAACATTTGGAAAGTCTTATGCTGTCTTATGTTCTGTAGCATTTAATAGGAACATACGACAATCTGTTACTCTTATTGTGTTACTCTGTTAGTGGGTGTTGTTGATAAATGTTAGTTAGCAGTTCACGATGTATTTGTTACTCTGTTGACGATGAACATTTGGAAAGTCTTATGCTGTCTTATGTTCTGTAGCATTTAATAGGAACATACGACAATCTGTTACTCGTGCTGAGTTCGTCTGTTAACGATTAATGCTGGTTAAATGTTATTCTGTCGTATGTGACTAAGCGATTTGTACGCACTTACGCCAATGTGTTATTCGGTTACTCTGTTAGCGAGCACTGGGATAATTGTTATTAATCATTCCATAGGCACATACGACAGTCTGTTACTAGCAGATGATGGCAGTTATAAATATGGGGTTTTCGTATATTCTCTAGGGCTTCACACACGCATATGTATGACATATAAATTGGTTTATGTTTTTTTGGTAGGCAAAACAAAAATTTTTTATGTTTTCTGTTATTTCTGTGATATTACACTAAAATAAATAGAAGTAAATTTATTGTTCGGGCATAATTTTTAGAAATACTTCAATATAGTTGAAGAGCTTTTCTTATATTTAACGGACTTTCCAGAGTTTCATTGGCCAGAGATCAAGCTTAGTGGCCTCAGACAGCTCAGACGAGTCGAAACTGTGTGGATTAGCGCCAGCTTACGGCCAGAACCGTACTTTTTGTGCTCTGCTCTCTCTTATAACTTTAATACGGCGTTCTTGTATTGTTTACCTTGCTGTTCTGTTGACTCTTTTGTCTGTGTTGTTGTTGCTATTGTTTGTCTATGAAACAACTCTAACACAGCTGTTCGTTTACATACATATGTATGTATGTATAATACATTCATATAAATATTTGTCATTCAACAATTACTTCAATTTTATTATTGCTTTTTTCGATTTTGTTTTTGTTTATCAATTCTAACGGCATTTTTCATGTCGTCGATAAGATAAGAGAAATATTGAAATATATACTCACACAGTGTAACGTCAAAGAGCAAAGTACAATTGCTACTCGAGGCTAACAGTGAGTCTTAAGTCTAATGAGGTAAAAGTTCCAGTTTTCCTTCGGTAGGCTCTTTAAAGAATGATCTACAGTTTCAATCAGCGGACCGCTGGAAAGCATCATTATCCATTTTCACCTACACAACATACATTAAAATGACGTTCCTTCCCTGAAATGAAGCCAAACTCTGTCCAAACTCTGAATTAGGGAAGCTTTGTGAATGGAAGCTGAACGTCCTATCCTGAAAATAGAGCAAAACTTAATTCAAGTGGCGACATGCTATGAATTACGACAGCATCAGGAAAGAACCTTCATTCGTGAAGAGATGTAAACCCGGTCCGAAAGGTGGTTTCTTGTGCTTTAAGCCTGACCACGCCAATTGATCGACTCAAAAGTTAAAACCTTCTTCAGGAAAAAGTGCAATTCAGCCCGAGAGACAAAATCCTGCTCAATGAGGTTCACCTCATCTGATGATTCAAATTGAAACTGGACGGCTAAACTGGGTTCACGTTTTAAACGTCTACTCTCCCTGCGTCGATTAGGTAAAAAAATCAAAAGCTGAGACAGTTGTCTCATCCAATATGATTCCCAGCTCAATTATCATCCTGCTGGAGAGGATTTTAATTGGATAATCTCAGTCCTTAAATTACACGATGTAAGCCAGAGTCGGTCTGACCAGTGAAAACTCCATGCGGAGAGACTCGAATACCAAATCCGACGAGCAAATGGGGACAAGACACGTACTTATCGTACGGTGCTCGTACTTGAGCATCAATCAGAGATAACATCTGAAAATGTGATAATTACTATAAGTGGTTCATGGCATTGGGCAAGTACAATTTCTTGATATATAAATGATATTTCCAATTCGCGCAGCAAGAAGAAGTAAAGCATGCAGCGCTGTAAGTGTTGGTTGCTCTTGTGGATACACGCTTGCAACTCACTCGTTGGCTGCACACGTGAGATTGGAAGCGAAAGCTTGACTGGGAAATTGCAGTTTGAAGCCGCAGCAGAGTGGGAGGTGGAGCGGGAGCAGGAGGAGCTACATATCGATCGACGGCCGCGTAAGTTTTTCCATTCCTCATCTTTTCTTGAACTCTAGCATTGAACATTCCACTCACTTTTTGAACCGATAGCGCCCACCGATGAAGAACGAAGGAAATACATGAAACAGGAGCTGCCTGCCTTACCGCTGGACTTCATGGAACGGAGCGCGCACTATAATCTACAGTTGAACGAGAGCTGTGCGCCGTTTCCCAAATTCTTAGAACTCGAATTCCACAACAACTACTGGCAAGTGCATCGTAGTGGAGCGCTCAGCTTCTACTTGTATGGTGCCTACTATGATAACCGTACGGCAGTGGTTAGTAGAGAGGGCGTAAAGCTGGTGCGTATACTCGCTATGGTCAGCGAGATCGACTTGAAGTACGAAGATTTTCCGCCCAGTTATTGTCAGATTTGGTATGAAGAGTTTGACAAGCCGCGAATTGTGCTGGTGCGAAATTATCGAGAAATTTGGTACTCGGACTGGTGTAAAGGTCCCAATTTGCTTTATGCCACGTGGGTAGAATGCTCACTGCATGAGGAGAAGAAGGAGGAGAAGGAGGAGGAGGTCGGGGAAGGGTGGCGTGATTTAGTGCCAAAAGCTGTTTCGTTGGTGGCATCACCGTGTGCGCGCGCTACAAATAGTTTGCGTGTAATCTACGAGCCCGCTGATGAACAACGTGGTGGCTTCGCTGTCTGTTCGACGGGGCTCTATAACCCCTACAGGGATAATTCGGTACGTTTGGTTGAGTGGTTGGAGCTTTTGCATTTATTGGGCGCCGAGCATGTATCTTTACCCACATTTGGCATACATCCGAATGCGACGAAGGTTCTACGCTACTACGAGCGCGAGGGTTTCGTTTCCGCACCAGGTATTTCGCTGGTGCGTGGCGAACCCGCTTTACCGCACTTCACGCACGAAGTGATCAAGCGCGACTCGTGCAATCACATGGTCAATGAGATCATACCACTGAACGACTGTCTCTGCCGGAATATGTACAAATATGATTATGTGGCTGTGTTTGACATCGATGAGGTCATAATACCGTTGGGCAAGCTACGCAACTGGCGTGAGTTGGCCCAAAATGCAGCGGAGGATGTGCGTGCGGATAATTGCAACGAAGGTGCCTCATCACTCTGCTTTTGTAACGTCTACTACCCAGCTTATCCAGAGCGTAAGCCATACAGCACAGACGCGCCCACTTACATGTACATGCTACAGCATGTGGCACGCGTGGCAGAGCATCTGGAACCTTTCAAAGCTACCAAATGTTTTCATAATACTCAATTCGTAACCAGTCTGCATAATCATTATGCGCTGGACTGGGTGGCTAGTTGTGGCATGCGGTCGGTCAATGTGACGTTGGGACAAATGCAACACTATCGTGAGCCTGACATAGCGGAAACCCTCGAGAACCCCGTTATCGATGACGTTATATGGCGTTATAAGGAACCCCTGGTGCCACGGACACAGGCTGTATTGCGGAAGTTAGGACTACTGCGCAGAGTACAGGTCCGTGGCGGTGTAAGTTCGGTGCGTGATGTTTGCTGCGTGTGAGAAACTAACTTAAAGTCTACTTTCAGGAACGAAACTCTCAAGAGACTGCAGAAATTCGAGTGCCACAATCTCTGGAGAAGGAAGCGATAAAAGATAGCTTAGCAGTAAGAGGCGAACTTTGAATTATAGTCATGCTTTGGGCTGCTTAATATGATTTTTAATTTAATAAACTCAAAAAAGTTATAGTTCTGTCGAAGTGCAGATCTCGCAACCCACTCTGCAAGGTCACGGTTAATTGAAAAATTTTAGACTCCTCCAATTTCAAGCCTATGACAAAGAAGATATCGTTCCTTGGCCAACTGTTGATGCTAAGCATTTGAAAACTTTTCGCTATTCATTCTAGAGATCGCCGGCAGTAGTTTGGCTGCTGAGACCGCTGACTTAGGGATCTGATGGAATCTATATGTGCTGTATGAGATTGCGGTAAAGGTTCTTGAATTTCCGCTCAGCTTGGGTGGAAGAAGGAATGAACTGGCGAAAGTTGAGCTCACCAGGCGAAGGGAGTTGGCAGTGACTACGAGCTCGAAGAAATATGTAACGTAGAAGAAGGTGTACCATGAAGGTGCCACATAAGAACCAGCCGGCTGCGCGATTTCTAGTGTTTCCTGTTACTCATACGCCACGTACCCAGCGACTAACTCTCAGCCACATGCGAAAGCAAGAATTATGACCCCAAACTGTGCAACTGACCTGCGCTAAGCTGATTTACGCACGGAGCCCCACAGACACACAAGCTGAGTACACCTGTGTAGGGTGAAGATTGTTTTTACCGGGTTCGTTTAGTATTTTCTTTCATTTTTTTTGGCGAATATTTACTGTTATTCCTTTAACAACTTTTCGCTAAATGAGTTTGTCAATATTTGCGCTGCTTTCATATTTCTTTGCGCCAAACTCCATTTGTTCGGCATTTGTAGTTTATTTCATTTCATTTTCTCTCATTTCCCCTTGTTTCCACTATATTCTTGTGCACTTCCTGGCACTTCTCTCCCCTTAGCCTTGCCTCGGAGTCCCTTTAGCTCTGTTCCGGCGTTCTCCTACTCTACATGTGTGCGCTTAGTCATGCCGGTCACGTTTCTGGGCCAACATATTTCACTTGCTGACACACAAACACCTCTGGCATGGAGCTCCTCAGCTCCGAACGCTCCGTACTTTAACCTCGACTCGACTTCTTCGTGTTACTGTGGCCCAACCCTTGTGTTGACGACTGTGTCTTACATGTGTAAGTGGTGTACAGAAGTCCGTCGGTCCGATTGCTTGTTTGGGCTGTGAGCTCAGACGCACATGTCGCGGAAAGTGTGGCTGACGGCAATCGGGACAGAGCGTGCGAAGACTGCTGCGACGCAGTGTGGCAGGGGGGTGCCTGTAATGGCAACATGCTCGCAATTTATGTCCATTTGGTATGTCCGCGTGTCATAAAATCATGAGCTGTCACATGCACAGACACACACGGCCACACTCGCACACATGTTGAGCTCTTCGGATGTGCGCTTGGTGTGGAGGAAAATCAAATATATTTAACGGTGCCAGTAAATGTAGACAAATAAACGCAGACATACACACGCACAGCGTACGAGACGCTGTGGGTTCACACACACAAACGCACCTGCGCTCTTCGCTGGCTGGAGATTTTTATGTGTTTTTATGATTTTTCAACGTTTGTTGAAGCGATAAATTTTCAAAGATTTAAAATTTTATTGCAACTTTTATGTGCTTAACAGTACATTAGAAAATGAAGCTCGGTTGAATATTGTGTGAAATATTGGCTGATCTATGCCATACATAAGCTGTGGACGCATTTGTAGGTAGCGAGGGCTCGCCCCTCACACTCCAGCTCAGTGATAGTTCTCAATTGGTTCACTTCTCTCAAGAGCTCGGGATGTGCTCTTTCTGGAGCTCCGCCTAAAAACTTATCTTGTGGACTTACACCATGTCCTGACTTATAAACTTACAACGTTACCATCATTCAAAATCGGAACTAGAAGGGTAAATAACATTAAACCACCGCATACCGGCTTCACATAGCCTATTCAAATAAGACTTTTCAAGAAGCGCAGGAAAATTTTAATCCTCGCTGCCTCTCGGTTTCAATATTTCGCAGTTTTCAAAGCGATGCGGGGGAGGAAAAGAACATAAAAACTCTGCATCCCGGCATTGCATGGTCTTTTCAAGGGGATACCATCGAAAGCGCATAAAATATTGCGGAGCTTAGTTATAGCAAAACTCTCGTCGTGGCTTGGTGCCAAAAATACTTTTTCCAACTTCCCGGTCTTTTCAAAGCGAAATTAGAAAGAAAATTAACATTAAAGCCCCATATGCCTGCATTACATAGTCCCTATAAATAGGAGTATTTAAGAATCAGACGAAAAATCCCAATTGACATTGACAGCGGGCTCTGGAATAATATCGCCGCCTTGCTTGGGAGATCGGTAAAAGCAGAAGACTTGTCGGGCCGTCATCCAAGCATCATAAACCTAACTAATTCAATCTTCCAATGCAGTTTTCCTGGTACTTTTCCTTCTCCCCACGTGTAGTGAAACTGTAGCTCTCATGGCGAGCTTGAGTTTAAGACGATACGACCTGTCGCTTGAATCAATAAAACGATAGAACTGACGGATTCCTTCTACTGTCTTCTTCTCTCTTTGGTCTTTACTCCTTGTCACTATCCAACTGAGTACTGTCTCAGCCTACATCGGCTAAAATGGAGTGTAGAAAGGACCTCGGCGTGAGGTTTTGCTTAAATCAACTACTTCTCTTAACTTTTATTGGCACCCAACGGTTTATTTACATTACGCATTCGTTTAAGTCTCCGTGTAGTTGATTTTATGACGCGTGCTTTACTGTTCCGGTAAATAATATTAATTTTTTTTACGCGTCAACACCTCGACAGCAATCTACAAGACGGTTATGCAGCACAGCTCAACTCCTAAAGTGATTTGGTTTGTTGCTTGTCTACTTACATTCGTCTGATTTCAACGCTCAGCTTTTTGTTTTACTATTTTTCACATTTTATTTTCATTTTTATTTCTCTTCTTCTGTTTCTTTTTTCTTATTATTCATTTTTCTGATTGCTCGCATGTTACTTTCGCTAAATTACCAACAATAAACAGTGACAGCAACAATCGTCGTTGGCGGTTTGGCGAATGGCTTGCGGCTTGAAGAGCTCCGGGGGTGGTGGAGACTCTTTGAGTGTGGGTTTGTAGATTTGTGTGCGTATTTTTTAGTTGCGCGTGTTGCGGCGTCTCTCCTTCTCTGTGGCGTGTTGATAAAAAGCGTAAAACGACGTGTGAACAATATGTAGAACAACGACAACAACAATAGCAATAATAGCAATATCAGCGACACGCGTTTCATTATAGTTAACGGTGTTTTATTATTTTTTTTGTTTTTCCTTCTACTATATTTGTCATCATCATCATCATACGTCGACACCGCCATCAGCGTCTCCATCATCATCAGCATAAAGAAGAGTTTTGCATGCGACAAAAAGCTTGATGCGGAGTCAATAAGTAAGACGTGGTGGTGTATGCACGCAGTTGGCAGCTGACTTGGCTGAGGGAAATGAAAGTAAGAGTTTTGTGTGTGAAAAAATTCTGAAAGGGAATGGCTCGATAAGCGCTACTGACTACCGTGACGAGCTCAGAAGAGCTTGGTCAGAGGCAAACCATCCGCCAGACGCATTCGGCTCGTTGAGTAGCCAATCTGAACCCTGAAATGTTGTGATGTGTGCATCGCTTTTTCCTCGATCTGAGCCAAAATTATTTTAAGATGTTCGGAAGTCTCATGAAGCGGCTTAAACTAGCATTAAAGAGCCACAACTTCGCCAAACAGCGTCCACTTCGGTAGAGAACCTACAGTCCAAAATGATCATCGGTCTTTCAAAACTTGGCGAATAACGTTTAAAGAGCGCATATTTCTTGATCCGCCTTAGAGAGTACTCGTCTGTGAATAAAATCGAATAAGCTCTTTCTTCTTGGAATAGAACTTGTGACCTTAAGATCAACGGAACGGTTTTAAGGGGTGTGAGTCTGCGATACGAAGTCTAGGCTTTCGGAATGGGGGAAAAGAGTAGTCCCACAGAATGTGACGTTGTGAGGCAAACTCGCATTGAGCTCAGGCATTGAATTTCCTTACTATTAGAGAGCTTAGTCCTCGTGCTGATCTTATGCCAGCGCTAGATCAACGCTAATCAAGTTTCTTAGGGACTATCTCTCAGAGTCCTAGTAACGAGCCCATCACGTGCATACCCTACGCTAGTTCGTCTCAAGGTTTTTCCATGTCGTTATACATTTATACACGAGTTTCTACAATGATCTTGATTCGTATATGTGAACTCTCTAGTCAGCTATTCACGCTTGTGTACGGGCTCTTAACTTGTCCAAATTTCCTGATACTCCTGGACTCGTTCCCCCACGGGCTTCTTGCTCGCTTTCTTTGTCGCTTCTCTGCATGAATTCTCTACTGTCATCCTCCGCCACAGCCTTATACTTGGGGGCTCGGCTTGAAAAAGAAGGTCACTGGAAGACAAAGTATCACCACAATATCAAAATCAGCTTACGCCACTATGTATTGTCGGTCTATTGTCTGTCAACTCAAAGAACTCGTTTGCCACCAACTGTGCCAACCATTTGAATGCAGTCAACTGCAACGAGGCAATGAAAGCGAAGACGGAAAGTGAACGTTGAAGGTGTCAATTGCTATTTGCCACAAGCCATTGTGTTGGGGAAGCTTAGTAGAAAGGACGTAGTGTGCCTGCTTGTGAGTTCTTAGGTATTGTTTGAAGGCCAAAAGCGGTAGCCAGAGCGAGTGCGTGGAATAGAAAAGAATCGGCGAGAGGAGTCCTAGCAGAAAGTGGGGATTTCAAGGAGGCGAGCAGAATTTAAACCCTCCATGTAGCCAAATTTGGAAGCTTAACTGCGTTTGAAAAATTTTCCAAGTCACTTAACCGCATACACATACACACACACACATGGGTGCACTTCATTCAGCTGCAGAAAAACGCCGTAAATCAACAAACATTCGATATGGCGTAAGCCTTGGAGCCTCTGCGCACGCTAAGAAGTCAACTCACACAGAGCACGCGAGCCAAGTAAGCGAAAAATGCACAAATTTAATAGTTGGCTCGCGCTTTTTTGGCA